CCTTATTAGCAGTGTTGCCAACTTAGTGCTTTTGTCTTTTTAGTGAATGTTCAGACCCCTTTAGGGCGTTCTTTTTTTCTGTGTTAATGGAGACTTTGGCTACGTATAAGCACAGAACTCTGTCCTCCTGAGCGAGTGGCTCTTAACCCCACCTCCTGCTCTCTCCCACAGTCCTCTGTCATACAGAGCAGGCTGCCCTCCCTAAAGCAGAGATGAAATCTTTCCACTTTGATTGATATCATCTAGTACTTTTTAGGACAGCCAATTGCACTTTTCTTTCTGAGTAGTTGGTAACACTTCTTATTGGGCTTCTACTGGGTATTTATTAGGGAGTTGAAGAATGATAAATCCGGAAATAATGGATAGTCAAACATTTCTAACCATTGGACAATAGATTGAGAAATGATTTCTTTGCATTACATTTCTCAGATTCATTTTTTTTATTTTTTATAATAATGTCCACAAGGAGTCCCATAATCTTCAAACTCAAAACAAAGTCCTGGAAGTGTTTCTCCGTTTAAGTCCAAAGTCAAAAGGAAAAATCCAAATGTCAAACCCCCCTCCAAAAAACATAATAAAAAAGAGCGTAACGACCGAAAATCCCCAAAAAGAAAAAGAAAGTCCAGATCTCAGCTGGAGGTTTCTTTCCCTGCGGTGGCATCCTCTGGGTGCAAGCTCTGATCAGGTTTCTAAATGCCCGTTCTGCTGCACTGGGAGGAACTTGTTTGCTGTTTTATCATTCTTCTTTTATTTTTTACTAGTTTTTAACATTCAACTAAACCAAAATCTCCCACTGCACAGATCAGTGTGCGTCTTTCTCTCCGGTCAAGCCGTGCGCCGACGCACACAGCCCTTTTTAATAACCAATTTTCTCCACAACGAAAAATACAGCATTTTAAGGGGGCAGTCCCCTTGGAGAGCAACTCAAGAAAAGAATGTAGTGCATTGAAAATCAAGATGATTGAAGACCATTTAGACACAGTCCAGGCCTTGATGAAAACGACCCAAACTGTGCAACTCTCTCACCTTTGGGCTTAAACAACAGACTAACACCTTTAACAAAAGATTAAAACAATGGCTAAAAACTGGGCAACTTTGCATTAAAAATATTAATGTATAAAATGTTTTCTTGATTGCACTACTCTTGTAAATCAGAATTATTCTACACTTTAAAATCTCATTATTATATATTAGTAATTTATAATTGTATACTAAAAGCCTTCTATATATTGATGTATAAAACTAGCACTACAGCCGGATACTGAGGCTTCTTACATGTTGATGAGACTATTCCTGGTCTGCTTCTCAGGCTAGCTTCCATGTTTGCATGGAACTGCTCTTCTTCCAACATAAAATACCAAATGCTGTGCTCTGTTTTGGAAACAGGCAAACTCTTATTTCAGTTGTTTAGGGTCTAAGAAATAAAGACTGGCTATAAACTTTACCAAAATAGTTCAGCAGCAAACCGGTTTGATGAAGGAGTAGGAAACTGTTGATAGAGAGGACCTGTATTTTCTAGGTAATTTACCTTCCATCACAACAAATAAGAATGATTTGGTTTAAAAACTCCTTTCAGACAGGCCTGCACTCTAGTCAAGCTGGTGACATTCATCTATATTTCCACCCCTCCATCTGCAAAACTGATAGAAATGTGCAAAACTGATAGAATTATGAAGTCCATCCATCCAAAAATCATAGGTTAATTTTTTTATGATTATTTCTTTCTGATTTGGGATATCATTTAAAACATCATAAACCAAATTATGTTTAATTTATTTACCTCTTGGATTTCCATTGTGGAATAATTTGAACACATTCCAATTGTTGTAAAAAGCCAGACGGACCTAATTCTAAAGTCTTCAAGATAAACTTTGGTTCTCAGAAAAATAATTCATAGCATTATTTTATTAATGGTTTCCAACTATTTTAATTTGCCTTTTTTTAAATTTATAATCTATTCTTATCTTCAGCTACCACAGTATACATGTCAGATTAAATAATACTACTTATACTTCAGCTATAGTATCAAGGGGCCACTTTATTGGTATCTCTTATGGGCAGATTATACTTTTGCAACCGCACACATCAGATGTCGCTTGCGTCTGGTCGCGAATCAGTTTTCCTGGTATGCTTCTGCACCGTCAGTATGGAATTTCTAGGGACGCACAGAAGTTTCCCGCCAAAGTGCAAAGGGTAGCCTATTCGAGAACTCATAAGAACTTCGGCGGATGATCATGAGAACTTTGGCGGCGCCAGCGGGAGTGTTTTCCAAAACAACACTTACGCGTTTGCAAGATATCACGGTCATGGAGATGGATCTAGAGTTGCTAGACATCGAAGAGGAACATGTTTTGTTAATGGAGTTGGCAAAAAGACTGATTAGCCTTTTGTCTTAGTTGTCCATTTGTAGTGGTTACTCGGTTTTTAATAACGGCTCGCCCCGCCACAGAATCGAGAAGGACGACCACACAGACAGCCAGAAGGTCACACCAAGGACCAATCACAGCTGCTTTTTGTCTGCATACTTCCGCTTGAGGTCTGAGTGGGTTTACGACCGTCCGACGCGTAGTCAGGATTTTTTTGAGGTGCGAGACAACGGTTGCAGAACCTCTGCGCGGGGGGCATGGTCGCACACAGAGACAGATTTGACGGTTACAGAGGCTATGTGTCAGAAGCATAAATTGGCCTTTATACATTTATACATCTCTTTGCGGGTGATGAAGCAGACTGAAGACATTTTATTGTTATCTCCCTTTTATTTCCTGTTTCTTTCATCTTTTCTCCTTCTTTCTGTTTTTCCTTTCCTGTTCTACTTACATTGTAGTGTCCATATAATCTGTAATACTCCATGCATAATTATAATAAAGCTATTTACATTCATAAATCAAGCGGAACACTATGGCGTTAGCCGTACTGCTCCACTGTTGGCCTCTCTTTTTGGCATCAAGACAATTATTCTAATTGCCACATTGCCAGACTGGACACTGTTAAAAAATATTAATAAATAAATAAATTCTATGATCTATGTATCTATTTAGTTTTCTTTTAATAGTCCTGACACTCAGATGATTGTTTTATTATTAGCACAAAATCAGAACATTCTTGAGCAGAGCATTTAAGGAAACCTGAAGTGAGTGATCTTTTCTGACTTCGCATAAACTAAAACTTATATGTTTTTTCATGTAAGATCAGCAGGTTGTAGATATTAGCATAATAGTTAAAAAAGAACATTGCTTGGTACCTGAAAACATTAACGAAGGGGAGTGGAGGGTGGTATGTGTCAAAATGTCATAGTCTTGCATACAGTCACATTGCCCAAAGCCTGCTAATAATGGTGCTCTTTTTTCAATTTTGGTTTCTTATTGCTAGGAATTACACCATCATGGGAAACTTAAACAGTATCGTCATATAACACAATACAGTAAACAGTACATGAGAAATATGTGGTGTCCAGATGACAGCGCAAGTTTTTTCCAGTACTCTCACAAGTCAAATTAAATTTAGATCAAACAGAGAACAGTGCTTTAGTTTATTTTTTCATTTTATTTTTTTCCCCCCTTTCTCTTGAAGCTTTTGATGCTCTGTAAAGTTGCTCTAGGGCTCTTGACAGAATGGTGTCTACAAAAATCACCTATTAACACCTGCAGTAATGTATGATCTGTACCAAAGAATTATAGGAAGCAGTCTGTATGACAGATTGTGTGTCCTGGAAAGTGCAGCTCAAGCTCATGTGTTGAATAAGTGGCTGTTTTTAGTTTTAATCTATTTTTGTGTTCTTATTTTGGGATGCTATGTGAAAGCTTGAAACCCAGGACTGGTAGAGATTATTGAGTTGTAAACAAACTGTCACAGTCTCACATTCCTTTTCAACCACAACCTTTTACTTCCAGTGAAATTTAAAGCAATGGAAGGCTAGTTTTTTCTTAAGCTAACAGGATCTGATATATTTATACATGTCTCTGTTCGTGTTAGGATGACTCATCTATCAGTGGGAGTCCTGTGCCTTAATCTCCTTCCAGATTTTTTTCCCTTTAGCTTTTGTTTTTACTTGAAGCTTTGTACTCTCCCTGCTCATTCAAATTCTTCCACCTCTGCATTTTTTCATTTCTTATTGATTATTACATAAAAAAAAACAGTGGTTACTCCTCCCATCCACATTCTTGCCCTTATGTTGTTTTCAGACTAGTATGATGAGAATTTTGGAAAGCCGGGGCCACAACCAGAGAAGAAATACTGATTGATGTATGGAGGGTTTTGTTTCCAGGTTATATCATTTTACATTCAAGTCATATAAAGACTAATCAAATTTCAATTCAGCCTAAGATCAGGCTTGAGCGGGCTTGTTTCAGTGCCGTTTCTGCTTCAAGGAGGCTGTTATCCTGTTCGTCTCCCCCATCCAGCGCAATTGTCCAACCTCCTGGCGACAGGATAAAGAGAAATACTGTAGATTTCTCTGTAGGAATTCATAAACTCTCTCACTCATGTCAAAGGTTCACAGTGGGATGTTTATAATACATCAAGGAACGTCTGGGTAAGATGGAGACCAATGAAATAACAAGCCTAAGTAAATGAATTCCTTCTCTCTTCAAAAGAAAGTTATTTTGCTCTACTGGCTAATCAGTGTAGAATGGAAATGGTTGGATAGAGGATTGGAGATTGTCACATCAGACAATCTTGTGCACCACAGATAAAGTCCCACTGGTCTGTCACAGTGAAGAAAAAATTGTTTAAAAATGTTCTGTTCTAAACCTCTTTTTACAGTAATTTAATGATCTCAGACAAGAGGAGGGCAATAGATGGATAAACAGATAAATGGTGACAGTGGAGAGTTTCACATCAAAGCTTTTAGACAAATCTATTACCGTACTCACAAAGAACACTGGGTGGTATTTTGGCACAAAAACTTGAAACAGTTTACCTCACTAGAGATTACCGGTAGAAATGTTACTGATGTCCAGTGCATGATGTAAATGCTTTATTTTCTCTATGTGTCTTGGCAGCACTTCGATGACTTCATCTTTGCCTTCTTCGCTATTGAGATGGTGATCAAGATGGTAGCCCTGGGGATTTTTGGCAAGAAATGTTACCTTGGAGACACGTGGAACCGCTTGGACTTCTTCATAGTATTGGCTGGGTGAGTTTACACAGTAACAGAAGAGAAAACTCAGCTGAGTTCATGAGCCTTTTATAAAGTCAAGCTTGTTTTTTGTTTTTTTTGTACAGCACTAGTGGCTCAATTTATGGACAGTAGGCTGACAGGAAAGGGGGTATGAGAGACATGTGAGAAAGGACCACAGGTCAGATTGAACCCGGGTCACCTGCAGCAAGGACTAAGGCCTCCATACATGGGTCATGTGCGCTAACCATTGCGCCACCAAAGCACACCCAGGCTTGTTTTTAATAATCTTTTGATCATCCTCAAGTCAATTAGGTGATCTGATCTTGTTAAACCTAACTTCACTGTTATGAAATCAGCTTCTGCTATCATTATGTAGAGCGACATTTTATGCTACTTGTTTTGTCACTCTAATACGTTAAAATATGTATGTGATTGCTGAAGGTTGAATTTACACACATATTGTGATGTTGGTTTGTAGTTATTTTGACCCACATGCAGAACCATGCAGAGAAGCAGTGAATTTTAATGTTTTAGGTCAAAAGCAACAATAATCAGGAACTTTCTGGTTGGTCTGAGGGGAGAAAACAGTTTGATCAGGAAGGAGTTGGTTGATGACATCTAACAAATAATTGATTAGCTCACTTGAGAGATGAAGGGGAGATAGCATGGATCTGTAGGGGTTTGATTCAGCTTGCAAGAGATGTTATGCTGGAGAGCAGGTAGAAAGGTTAAGAAGACTGAGAACTGCTACACATGGGTAAGACCTTTTCCATGAAGATCGGAGACGAGCTGATGTTCACTGATTGCCTAGAAGAATAACAGAATCTACATTATTAGAAATTCACAATATTTCAACACAAACATATTCCTGGTTTAGGTCTTTAGCTGGAATACCATTGGGGGTGAAGAGACATGATCCTTCATCTCCTTATATACAACTAGCCAGCTTGATTGACAAATGTTTGCAGCGTCACAGGTCGGCCCAGCCACCAGCAAAGATCCTCCTTGTGACAGGAAGCTCACTCACACCCCAAAAATAGCAAAATCCCAGAGACCCTAACACATACATAGAACTTTTATTTTCACAAAAACTACACTCTACACACTCTGGCTTGATAAAACACATTGCAGAATTTAGCCGGCTTGTTCAGGTCTGACATTTTCATCACACTTCATCCCCCGCTGAGTTTTAATGCCATCCTTCTGCCGCAAAATCTGTTGTCGATCAGTGGGAACAGGACATGCTTCCTGAAGTGTCCTTCATTAAAACACATAGGATGCTCTTTGTATTGTCTTTTTCTTTTTTCTTTTTTGCTTGCGACATACCTAAATATCAGAGTCAGCAAACATCAGTAAAGTTTTATTGAATACATTCAAAGATATTTGAAAAGTCTTTACTAAGTGAAATTCATTATATAGATTAAGATGGACGTTTTCATTGCTTTACTTCTGTAAATTACGTTTATTTCTGCTTAAAGCTAGTAATACCAATATTTCATTTTACATTGACCAATACATTTTTGTATTACATATGGGCTTACTGAAAGTGGGACAATGAGTAGCGCTGCTGCCTTGCAGAAAGAAGGTTCATGGTTCGATTACTGGCCTAAGGTCTTTCTGCATGGAGTTTGCATGTTTTCCCTGAGCATGCGTGGGTTCTCTCTGGGTACTCCTGCTTTCTCCCACAGTCCAAAAACATGACTGTTAGGTTATTGGGCTTCTCTAAATTCTCCTTAGGTGTGAGTGTGTGCGTGAATGGCTGTTTTTCCTGTTTGTCTCTGTGTTGCCCTGTGATGGACTGGTGACCTGTCCAGGATGGACCCCGCCATTCGCCAGTAGACAGCTGGAGATGGGCACCAGCACCCCTCATGACCCCCCTTGGGATAACCGTGACAGAAAATGGATAGATGGAATTGTCTTTGAAGTTTTTTTTTTTTTTTTTGCGGATGGTGAAACCGTCTCTTGTGCTGCTGCTGCATATCAATGTTCTTGCATTTAGCTACAGTAGTCCAGACTGTCAGTTGTTGTGTTAGCATCTTCATATAATCTTCACCGCTACCTCTCAGTCACACTAAACTGCCAGCAAAGGGAAATGCGTTGATATTCCAAGCTTTACTACTATTTTATCCCTCGCTTGCATCTGTCCTTTCAAGATGGCAGCTGTCGTGGCGCTTTGTAAACGAGTAACCAGACTTATGTATAAACTAATGCAAAATTCTTTTGCTAATGAAAATGTATCTCATCATTATTGGAGGTAATAATACACCATTAATAACACATATGCAGTCATGGCTTTCAGGCAGTAAAAAAAAGAGAAATTGTTACACAATATACCTTTAAATATAAACTTTTTAGGGGAAGAATTGGAGCATGCTCGGCGAGTAGACTCTTCCACCGCAGCTTCCGAAAAATTCTTGGACAGACCAAATCTTATCTCTTCTTGCGCATGTGCAGAAAAAGATAGCTAACTGGGGACGAGTACGAAAGGCAGCCTTACGTAAACACATCACCAGAATGATCGACAATTAGGAGGACCTCTTATTTTGATGATCCACCCAGAAAAAGAAAATCCTCCACTATACCTTTAAGTCCCTCACAGACTTGGCAAATTGTTTGCAGTCCGTGCCCTTTTCTGACACAACTGAGATTTAAATCCAGTTTCTCCCCCTGTCAGGCTCTTTTCTACCAGTCAGTTCTCAGCATGGTTTAGCACGCTTGTAAAATAGACCTCCCATGAGACAAGTGAAGCAGAAAGGTACTTATGGAAAAAGGGCAAATGATGCACAATCAGGGTCTGTGCCAGAAAACCAACTTCTTTCGAATTCACTCGATGTATTCCAACAAGAATAGAGGTCAAATGTTTGTTATAGGGTCTAAAAAGCTGGGTAAATTGAAACGGTTAACTTTGTTTTAGATTATATTCAATCCACAGCAGCAGACCTTAAGAGGTGAGGAATAAAAACAAAAGATTTTATTTAAAAAGACAGGCCCATAATGGGTTTTTATTTGTTGTTTTTCACAGTAAAACTTTAATCATAGCAACTTCTTTATGTCTAAAAAAGGAAACGTGCAAAATGAAGTTGTTCTTCCAACAACCAGAAATCGTTTCTAAAGGAAGTTTTTTGGTTGACTTATAATAAGTGTGATTAGTAAGTGTGAAAAATCCTCATAGTTAATTTGTAAAAGAAATCTCTGCAAATTTGCGTGCTGGCGTGTGTGTGTGTGTGTGTATGTATGTGTGCATGTAACAGAGACAGAACATTAAGATGAATTTCAGGAAACAGGTGGATGTTATGAAGGGTTTTTTTTTTGTTTCCAGAGTTGGGAGTTTTTGCCATCTGCATGTGTGTTGGCTTACATCAGCGAGCGTAGGCAGAGTGTATGTCATAATTTGTTTTCATGGCTTATGCTATTTTTGAAGAATCTGGAAAAAAAAAAACTTTATTTGCACGGAGGCCCAGCCTCCTCCGACACATCGAGACAAGGGTAGCCAAGGGTAACGGCTGGTCGAATATATATCCTGGCAACAGTTGTTAAGTCCCCAGAGAAGGGCCCTGATGAACTGTTTGTTTCTCTCCAAGACGATAATTGCAGCTAAGCTGCTTTTTCAGCAACTCTAACTCTCTCCTTCTAATCACCTTGCTGTCAGGAGGGATTGATGGAGAGACGGCTGCTTAGATCAGGTGAGATGCACAGAGACAGAGCTGAAATTCTACCTTGTGAATACAACGGATTTGGACTGACTACTTCAAGGCTTTATCCCACCTGCTTCGACATTTTCAGGGTCTTAAGAATAAAGTGCCAAAGAAATGAAGGGTGTTTGTATTCTTGCTATTTATCTTGACACAAAATAAATCTTAGTCATGGATCTTTTTAACAAAAACAAAAGTCTCACATTGGTTAAGGCATTAGCATTTTAAGAGGAAATAATTTATCGACTATAATAAACACAGATTATTTGTGTAAATAAACAACCAAACAGAAAAACAAAATCATGCATTTGCTTGATGTTATTACTTTTCTACAAAAGGCAGTAAACCACGCAGTTTAGTTATTATTCTAAACTTATCAATTTGGCATATGACCGCATAATCGTCATTCTACCTTGAAAAGTATGTCCTACCTTAAAGATTGTACTTATTTTTTTGCATTTTCTTCTGGGTCAACAAGACATTTTAAAGTAAGATGATTATAATAAAGGAAACTTCTATTCAAACTGAGCCTGCCCTAACTAAGTGGAAAAAAAAGCTCGCAATTCTAAATTTTGTTTGTGAAACCAATGGGGGCAAAAACTGCTAATTGGACTGAATTTAACAATTTCTCTTGTGGTCGTACTGACCACAGGAGCTCTTATCACACGAGAATTAATAACCTGATGCAGATTAGTAAGCAACGTTGGGTTAGGGGCCTTGCCCAGGGGCACATCGACACATTACAGGAGAAAATTGAAATTCCAACTTTCAGAAAGACTTTTTTCTCTGATTTAAGCACATTAAATGTGTCTGTGGAGGTTTGTAAACAGTTTTCTAAGGTCTAATAAAAACAAAACAATAAAAGAAGTGAATTTAGGCATTATGTTTTGACTATTCAGTAACTTCCATTCTGGTTATTTTAGCCCTTTTTATGTGGACTTGTTGCTGTGCTTTTGGTCACTGTTGTCCTGCCTTAGTTATGTTCCCATACAGTTAATATGTAATTACCAGAAATTCTCCTTCAGGATTTTCAAGAATCAAGGTGAATTCTTCATTTCACAGATTGTGGCAAAAGGCCCACATCCTGTTGCAGCAAAGCAGCCCCAGTCATCACAGTATCACCACAAAAGCTGGGCAGAGTACTCAAAACTTATAACAATAACATATTGATTATAAAACCAGGTAGAAAAAATAACTAACCCTAACCAATAGTGAAAATCCAATGGGCTTGACCTCCATTTCTTCCTGAACTTTAGCTCCTTCAGTTCCTTTGTTCCTGTCTTTCATTACAATGGGCACATAGCCCATTGGTTGGTAACTAGT